AGTAATAAGTAACGAGCAATATAAGCAACAGTATGAGGCCCCTGTTCTGTTTGAGCTCTCGTTTTCCCTCCTGAGTTTCTCGGCCAGTCCACAGATGTTTACATACACTGTATAAAAAAAGACATTTTTTGACATTAAATCAGATTAAACTTTTCCTGTTTTAGCTCAGTTAGGATTACCAACATTATTTCTATTTGCTAAACGCCAGAATAATGAGAGAGAGAATTTTGTTTTTATTACTTTCTTCAAAGTCAGAAGTTTACATCCACTAAGATGCCTTTAGACTATTTGGGAAAGCCCAGATGATGATGTCATGGCTTTGGAAGCTTTTGATTGGTTAATTGACAACATTTGAGTTAATTGGAGGCACAACTGTGGATGTATTTTAAGGCAAAACTCAAACACACTGCTTCTTATGTGACAACATGGAAAATCTAAAGAAACCAGCCAAGATATCAGGAAGAGAACTGTGGACCTCCACCAGTCTGGTTCATCCTCAGGTACAATTTCCAGAAGACATCACTCCAAAAGCAACATAAAGAAGCCAGATTACAGTTTGCACACAGGGACAAAGAGCTTCGTTTGTGGAGACATGTCCTGTGGAGGAAACTCAGATATGGGCAGAGTAGCACTGTGTAATACTCTGTAGTTATGTTAAGTTGTTTGACAAGTTGAATTATTTATTGTGTAGAAAATCCCCACCATATCACCTCTACATCTCATATCTCTACCTAGCCTTGGTACTTGAAGTTGTGTAGTGGTAGTGTGTACTTTATACATACAGCAACACATACAGACCAGGTTACAAAAAAAACTATTTAATGCGAAAGAAGTCAGAACTAATAAATACGACGCACATTTAAAACGTATCAAGGCAGCAGGTACCCAGTGTAGCTGTTAACGCTTCCCGACAAGGAATCAACATTTCATCTTTTCACACGTGCACATCTCATCTAGAGCTCAAGTACATCACGACTACAAACACACACGCACACACACCCAATAAAAAAAATCCATTAGCATTCTGTAAGGCAAACAGACAGCTTGAATTAAAAACCACAATACAAACTACTTGACATTATCAAAATCCATACAGAGAGGTTGTTCTGTGAGATCTGCATCATTAAACTACAAAAAGGTCAAATTTGTAAGAGCACATGTGATAGTTTATCAGCTGGAAATGTTGCAGAGGATTTAGTTGCTCATCAGAAATACTCAGATGATTCTATATAGTTTCATTAGCACAATGTCTCCCCTTCACTCAAGTGTTTAAAAAAAATAAAATCATAACAACAACAAATCTATAAAAAGTCTGTAAAAATACTGCAAAGCACACTGAACAGTACAAGGTGTGTATTGTAATTAGCAGCTTTTTTTTCTCTTTTTTTTTTTAGAAAATGCATAAAATGTTTAGTGTCTCGTAGTGTTCTTTCTGCGATAAGAAACGTGGTTTGAAGTGACTCGTCCTACTCGGAGACCGTTCCATCGCTGAGCGGCTCAAGAGGGGCATCGAGCAGCTCGAACATGTCGTCGATGACCTGCCACAGACAGTTCTCCAGCGGGAAGTCGTTGTCCACCAGGTTGACCAGGAAGTAGTTGTCGTGGATGTACTTGATGATCATCCGCGAAGGAGACTCGTCCTCGTAGAGCTTGGCCCACTGCTCGATCCACAAGGCAAAGGCCTCGTCCTGCGGAAACACAGCGAGGCCGGTTAGTCCGAGGAGCCTAAAGGTCCGTACAGTCCTTCAAACTGCTAGTGGCAACCAAACTGTGCTTCTGACAGCATCACGTCAACCGTGAGTCTGAGAACCATGAGAATCTGCCTCACAGATTTCTGAATCAGGGTCGGTATCAGCTCGAGTAAAGAACTCAACCGTACCAGGGACGCAATCTTTGTCCAACTGTTACTACCAAAGCACAGACTAACCACCTCTGCCCAGGAAACCCAGCCTTTAAAAAAAAAACCTAGCCTTTTAGGAGCTACAGGAGTTGGTTTTGTCAACAACAGGTGGCTTTCCACTACAAAACCTCGGAGCAGTCGCAAGGTGATGCCAACGTTTACGGGGCGTGACCCCAATGTTTACAGGGGGTGGCGCCAATGTTTACGGTAGGTGACCCCAACGCTTGTGGGAGGTGACGCCAGCGTTTACGGGACGTGATCCAAACGTTTACAATAGGTGACCTCAACCTTTACAGTCAATAGGTGGCTTTCCACTACAGAACCTCGGAGCAGTCGCAAGGTGACGCCAACGTTTACGCTAGGTGACCCCAACGCTTGCGGGAGGTGACACCAATGTTTACAGGACGTGACCCCAATATTTACGGGAGGTGACCTCAACGTCTATGGTAGGTGAACCCAACGCTTGCGGGAGGTGATCTCAATGCTTGCAGGAGGTGACGCCAACTTCTCATCATTACTGGCGATATTAGAGAGGAGAATCAGCACTGTCTTCTCCACTGTCAACTAATCAGCATCAGGGCTGCAAAGAAGCACCTAGACACTGTTTCTCCTCCAGAAACAGTCCTGAGGGAGGTTCTACTGGGAAGGTTTTGTTGGCTGTAACACACACAAACGTTCATGTCACCCCCATAACAGCTCACAAGATCCTGCAGTGGAAAATGGCTCAACGACAAAAACATTAGGGTAGAGTTTTGGCAGCACTTTCTGCAGCAATAAGTCAAATTTTTGATTGTTCAGAGTGACTTTGATTTCGTGAGTCACCCACAAGGTCTCCAGATGTCATTATCTTTATTACAAGTCATATTAAATATGAACTTCTTACTTTGTGATTATTTCTTTCAAGTCAAAGCAGTAATATCAGAGTGTAGTACAACAAAATACCTTGTTCACTATTTAGTGAAACATGCCTTCCTTCATTAGCATCAATGGTTTGCTGGTGTTTGCATACAGTCTACTATGCAAATTGGTAAAAGGGCGATTCATGCTAACGTATTCATTTTGCTTACATGTGAAAGTTACCAAAGGAGTGAATTTGCTCGGTTGTAAACACAAAGTCTGATAAAAGTGGGACTCTCACCTGCATTTCAAAAAGGCTAAACCTAATGTTCTTCGAGAGAAGACGCCTTCTCTTCGATTACGGTGGTTTGTAATCACAACAAATTTTTGTTTTAAAATCCCTCAAGCACCGTACAACATGTGATCTATGTATCCGGCTGTTGGTATTACCTTCCAGTACATGAAGCTGACTGGATCCACGACAGTCGGCTGAACGATCTCCCTGCCTGGGAAGATCCCCCACGTCACAGCGTTGGGCTGCATGTCCGGGGCGTTGGTCAGGTTACGGCCCTGCAACATTCATTGACATAGTGACCATATACACGAATGCTTTTTGCGTCTCAAAAAATGTGTTATATAGGAAAGTGAAAATTGTATATGTTCTAGACTGATTAGCTGATTATGGTTTACAGCTCATGAAAATCAAAAATCCAGTACTTCAAACTAATGGAGCATTTCCTAAAATCAGTCTCCCCAAAAAAACACACAGAAATGTCTTAGTCCTTGAGAAACTCCTCCAAGTTCTTGAATCAAGTTCTTTTCTTGACAGTCCTCTAAAGGCTGCAGTCGTCCACCTTTTCCTTTCAGGTCAACTTTCCATTAATACGCTTCGATACAGCACTCTGCCTACAGCAGCCGATTCAGCAACGATCTTCTGTGGCTCCTTGTGGAGGGTCTTGATGATTGTCTTCTTCACGGCATTCAAGTCAGAAGTCTTCTCCGTGATTGCGGTTGCATGTATTGAAGTCAGTGAGAGATACCAAGAATAATTCAAACTCGACATTAAATATTCTAACATTTAGAGATATTGGATTTTTGATCTTCATAAACTGAGACCCGACTCCGGATAAGCGGGAGAAGATGGATGGATGGATAAACTATAATCTTCAACATTAAAACACAACATGTATGGAAGAGAAAGCACTCAGCATCTTATGTTGTCAGTGAAATGTACGAACTCGTCTAAAACAATAGCTGCAGTTGCATTTTGAACCTGAAAAATCGTCTTTTACAACCCAGGCATACATGTTTTGTAATTTCAAACGAACCTACAACGGTGATTATTGGTCATTAATCCTAACATTATCTAGAATCCATTATAAATAACTGACAAAACGTTTTCACAATGTTCTGCTATTGCACTCGCACACAGACGTGGAACGACGGGTGCTTTCTATCCGAACTCACCTGCACGTTGACAATCTGGTAGTTGACACGGGGCTCGTACTTCTTGAGCACTTTCAGGAGAGCAGTCACATTTTCACTGGAGGTGAAAAACTCCAGATAGGCCTGTCGGATGTAAAACAAACAGATCAACATGTCGGACTAAAAAAAAAAAAAAAACAGCGCACTCCTTAACCACTGCATCCAAAGGCACTAATAAGAAAGCGCTCGTGCCTTCTGGAAGACGTAGCCCCCCGCTGGGCCCCAGCCCACGATAGGGTCCGTGGAGGGTTTGCCATTGATGCTGGGCTGAGAGTTGATGGTGAGGACTCCTCGCCTGTTCACCTTCTCCAGCTCATCCTTCAGCAGGTTGGTCTCCGGGGCCAGAGGCTCGTCGTTCCACGGCAAACACAACACCTGGCGGGAGAGACGGCACATGGGTAAAGCAGCAACGACAGAATATTAGCTGGTGTAAAGGAGCTAACACACACTTTGGGGAAGGTGCCTATTTGGCTTCTTTACCGAGACGCTCAGATGAATGTCAATCTTGTGCCTCATGTGTTGAGTACAGCACATGGTTAGCCTAGCCTAGCCTAGCACAAAGACAGGAAGTAGCGGGAAACACGGCTAACAGGGTTTCACCTACACTGTCGTAAATGACTGTAAATATGCAGCCAAATTCTAACAGCAGTGTTACGTTTTTCCAAAATACAGTTAAATACTATAAAATCGGAAGCTTTCATCGGAGCCTAAAGCGAGAACTCCTCTTAAACCTGCCTTTGTGTCTTAAAGAAACAAACAAAAAGTGTTCACAAAGCACTAATTAACACAAACTAGACGAGTGATTGGATTCAGACATCCCTTTAAGTGCAATACCATCAAGTTAGCAGATGACAACTTTATGTCGGGATTAGTTAAGCTATGTGTGAACAACCACTTGGCCCAAGCACAAAGTTGACAACAAGTCGGATCCAGTGGAAACCCAACAAATGACCAAGTAGACTTGAAGAACACACAGTATCCCAGACTAACAACAAACCGAATGACACCGAGGCAGACGTACGCTAGGAAATCCAGTTAGGATTTTATCTGTACAAAAACCAAAAAAAAACAGTCACGCAAGAAAAACAACGGTTTTCTCCGACGTTCCATGTCGTCTACCTTGTGACCGCGACGGTTCGGTTGGGCGGTGATGTAGCAGGTAAAGATCTCGTTGACGCTCTCTTCGTTCATCAGCTCCTCGCCCCACATCTGCAGCAGCGCATCTTTGGACGATTTGCTCTTCAAGTAGAACAGGTAGTAGTCGTTCAACTCACCGAACGCTGGAGACGAGGAGTTTCCCCTGAAACCGGCAATAACTCACCATTTTACACGACTACAAACTCAGCTTCGTATTGTAGGTTGTTAATAACTTTCTATTTATTGACTAAACAAGATGAGGTTTTGTCGCGCGTGTTGACGCCTACCATCTGCCGTTGGGGAACTCATCCCAGTCCTGGGTTCTGTAGATGTAGCTCTTGGGTCTGGAGGCCCAAAAGATGGGCCGAACATCTTCCACCTTCCGCTTGGGATGAGCGCTCACTGCCCAGGGAAGAGGCCGCCTGGCACAGAAATCAAGCTCTGAGACTCTGACTCACTGTCAGTCAGAACGCTAAAAAAGACTAAATACAATAAACCTGTGTGGGTTCACTTTGACATTTTAACTTTGTTCTTCCGCATGTGGAAGAGCCGGCCAGTTGTATGCAGCGTTCAGAAACCACATAATGAGCTGCAAAATTTAAACGCAGTACTAGACAATAATAAACATAATAAGCATTCAAACTGAACTGAACAAATTAGAATAATTAATTAATTGGAGGCTTTTTGATTAATTAATCACATTTGTTTTTTATCAAACGGCAATACTTGACACAATAAGCAAAGTTTTTAAATTCAAATACATTTTTGGTTGACGACTGAATCAATGAATAGACATAAACGTGAACTTAAACAACAGAAATGTTTATTTTTCATCTATATCTGAAAAAGGTTTATTTATCTGTATTTATAGTGGTGGTAACTCTCGCTGCTGAAACAGCCAAATTTTCCCTCAGGGATTAATAAAGTATTTCTATTCTAATCTTATAATATTGTAAACTCAAAGTGCAATCATAGCACAGTTTGCAAACAACCAGGCTCTTATCCAAGCTGCCATCGGGAAGTTTAAAAAAAAAACAAACCTTTCCACCCAAGAAGCCGAGCAATGCGTCTCGTCTTCCCATCACTGCTCACCAAACTTTCTTCACTCAATGCATCCCGTGCAGCTTCTTGGCGGCTGGCTAACAAACTTTAGGCGCATTAGCGCCACCTACTGGCTGGAGTGTGTCATCAGCGTTACCAGTGTGGCAGAAACTGAGAAAGGTGCGATTAAATGTGTTATTTTTTGAACACGTTATTTCTTTCTATAATTATTTAATTGACATTAAGATGTTAAAGTCTCAGCCCTAGTAAAAACATAAAACTATATAAAGACAACCAGTTTTTACAATTTTTTTTGTATTATTAGAAGAAAAAAACATTTAGAGCATGTCAGTTGTTCAGTGAAGTTGTCTGAGATCATTAATTTGGCAAAACGGCATCGATCATATCGTAACAGCTGATTTCCAGTCAGTAAGTTTGCTTCTTTGTCCAGGAGTCTGTCAGGAACACAGGCTGCTCCAGACGACTGGACGGTTAATCCTGGCTTCGTCGACCCACAGAGACGGATATTTAGAATGAGTTAGTCACTGGCACACCGGTAACACTGACGCACTGCTTGGCTTGTTCCCGACGGCAGCGTGGATAAGAGCAAGGTTGAGTGCAAACTGTGCAACAAAGAGTTTTCAAGACAAAAAGTCTTAAAATGTTGAATAAAATTGCTATAATTGCACTTTGACTTTGTACAAACCTGTGAATGTGGTAGACAGAAGAACAATACAGATAAATACAGATGAAAAACAACCAGTTTTGTTTAAGTTCACATTTATTATTGATTCAGTCGTCCACAAAGACTTCTTTGATTGAAAAACTTTGCTTATTGTGTCAAAAAAACGCGATTAATTAATTAGACTTTTTTATCTTAATCCCGTCCCACCACTAGTTTTTACTTAAACATAGAATGAAGAAGTCGTCCAGCAGAACTGAACAGGATTCTGCACCGGTTCATTTGTTTGACTCACCTGGGGTCTTCTATCCACAGGCCCAGCTGTCGAAGCACCTCCATGGTTGCGACCTCTCGATTCAGCGTGTAGAAGTGGAGGCCCGGCACCTTGCCGCTGTCCAGCAGCACGCGGCACATGTCCACCGCTTGCTGGATCCCGTAGTTGCGGATGGCGGCGTCGTTGTCTTTGATGGGCTCGATGACTTGGGTGATCTCCTCTGGCACCTCCAGCTTCGACAGCTTCACAAGCTGACGCAGAGACTGGTAGCCCTGGAGACCAACAGGTCCGGTTATGATTCTGTGGATGCAGCTCAGTTCTGGGTAATTATTTAGTTTCACTCTGTGTTCAGTTTAGGTCGCCTTTAAGGAGACACAAGCAAAAGCTCTTCTGTCCAAGCTTGTGGAGCGACAGGTTTTACCTGCAAACGACTGGTTGTGGTTGTTGGGGTGAAACTATCAGGACCCACCAGAAACTATACGTTTGTTGATATTTAACAATCTGATTCCCTGTTATGTATCATTTAATATATGTTACTGTACATATATTGAACATTTACCTCTGCTCTGGTAAGTCCAATTAAAAAAACACAGCAGGACAACGTAGCAGTCGTCAATACAGCAGGAGCCCAGTGAACTCGTTTCAAAGATGTTCACTGCAATAGCTCACCTACAGACCATAGCGTTTACCCATCAGCTGTTCCCCAGCCTGTTATAACATCCATCCATCCATCATCTATTCACCGCTTGATCCTCACTAGAGTCATGGGGGGCTGGGGCCTATCCCAGCTGACTCAGGGTGAAGGCAGGTTCACCTGGACAGGTAACCAGTCTATCACAGAGCTACACTTAGAGACAGACAACCAAGCACACTCACATTCACACCTACGGACAATTTAGAATCACCACTTAAGCTCAACATGTTTGTGGACTGTGGGAGGAAGCTGGAGAACCCGGAGAGAACCCACGCTGCACGGGGAGAACATGCAAACGTCCTCACTGGGATGCGAACCGACGACCTTCTTGCTGCGAATCAACGGTGCTAACCACCGAGCCACCTTGCAGCCCCTGTTATAACCTGACCGATGTAAAATAAATAAACAACCAGAGCACATTATTACCAACAAGCCACGAGAGCCAGAACTCATGAGCTGTTGAGCAGGATAGCATTTCCTTTACCTGGTAATGTATGAATATTAGCTGCTACTAGCATAATAATTAGCATACTGAATGCTATCTGCACTGCGTGTTATTGATTGACAACAGTGGTTAAGAAGATTGCTCAGAACTCGCTTCTCTAGTAAGAAGCAGGAAGTTACCTGAATGGGAAAGATTCCAGGTAGGATGGGACACGTGATGCCAATTGTCCTGCAGTCGTCTAGAAACTTGAGGAAAGTGTCTGCTCTGAAAAACAGCTGGATGTTGGCTCCGGCGTCCACCTTCTCCTTCAGGTGCCTGAGATCGTCCTCGTAGCTCTCGGCCTCAGGGTGGCCCGTTGGGTAGCCTGGTGGGTTTCAACCGCTGAGTCAGGCTTTAATTGAGATTGTACGTAAATCGTCCAGGACTGAAGTCTAGATTCAACACATACCGGCAACACAGATGTCGAAGTAGTCATCGAACTCTGACCGGATGTGTTTAACGAGGTCGATGGCGTAGTTGAAGCCTTCCTCCTCTTCCTCCCAGTCCACTCCCAGTGGATCTGTGAAGACATCAGAGTTCCACACCTGAGACAGAAGCTTAAATGTTTAAAGCTACTGATTTTTTTCTTGACTATAAAGCAAATCTAAGGTACTGCTATACACCACAGTACGCCAGAAAAAAAAAAAAAACTGAGGTCGTCCCAAAATGTTATCCAAGTTTAAAACAACTTTCCGCCCAACAAGCCAAGCGATGCCGTCTCGTCTTCCATCACTGTAATACGAGTGCAAGAAATGCACATTTACCGAAAATGATTAAATGATGGGTAATATAACATCTTTAATTTTAATATGTTTTCAATGGATATGAAGACAATCCTTTGAGGGAAAATAAACGGTGTTAAAATGTCCTAAAAAGCAGATTTTCCAGCTCTGAAGTTAGTTTTGGAACGACCTGAGGCGGTCAGTTTTAATTAGCACCGTATTACATTTTGATAGGACGAAGCTAAATAGTTTCTACACACAACTAGAATTTGGTTGGAATTAAGTGAATATTAGTTTTTGAAAATGAATTATTAATTTGATTATAAATGATCGATTATTATTATTTTAATTTCTGTAAAAAAAAAAAAACAAACAGCATAAGCTATTTGCTATGATTACAAGGTTTCTGGGATATTCAGTAAAAATAAAAAGTCTTCTAAATCCTGTGAAAAATAAACAATTGGTGCAGCTTTAAAAGTATCACTGAAGTTATTAAATTTACCACAAAGGGACGATTTTTAAAAATTGATAACTCAAGAAGTATTTGATGTAGAGCTGGGTAATTTTGAAAGCTCTTGTGGTTGAAGTAGAAGTTTTTGCATGATTTTTTTTCAACAATAATCCATGACATGAAGTGTTGAAAGTTCTGAAATCTGTGTGAACCGGCTGGACGTGTTTCTGTTTATAACCGACGTTTAGCACATCATCGTGACCACGCTGCACGGCTGAACTGTTCAACATCAGAGTTATTAAAACTGTTGTGAATCCATTTCAATACAGTTGGCTTGAACCCTAACCTGCCTTGGAACAGCCAGTTTCTACGCTGCAGGTTAATCTTCTCTCTTTGCTGAGAATTCCTGGCAGGAAATCAACTATTTAGTCTTGGCAGGCAACTGGAAGAACAAAAAAGCTACTCGTGTAATTAACAACGCACCTCCTCGCAGCGCCATGATGTTCTTGAGGCCCAGGTGCTTTGCTTTAGCCAGGTAGCCCGTAATCTTCTCTTTGGTTTGGTTGCAGCAGGTCAGGTGGAGAATGCTCTCCAGGCCACAGTAGTTGACGGCCGTGCTGGCGATCATCATGGACGAGGTTTCCTTGTCCGAGCCCGGGTCCCCTGCTGGATGCCAAGTAATGTCAATGAACAGGGGCCCTCTGGAGCCCATACGGTCAAATCTGTAATACAGTGACACTTTCAAAAGAAACGGTCCGGCTGTTGTTCGGTCACAATATGGACAATTCATGTGTGGTCTGACATCATGCTACATTGATTAACCTTGATATTATTTTATACTCTTTGTACACAAAATGAATCAAAATGAGCCACAAAAAGAAAACCAGAGGAATTATTCAAGCCTCTTGGAACAATTATTCTAGTAAACAGGCTGTTCAAAGATGTGTTTGTTGTAAAATTAGTGCAGGTGATGTGTGCCAAATTTAGCAGATATGTTCATTTTAGCTGGGTTTTTTTTGTCTTTATTGATAAGCGTCAGGCAAAGAGAGTGACAGGAAACTGCTGGGTGGAGACAACAAATTACATTTACAGAATATACCGTTGGGCATCGGTCAAGTGTCTCTATTCTACGTTCTATTATTCTGAATCACCGTGAGCTGAAATCAAACCCAGGATGCTGCTCAGATAAGTGAAATATGTATACATTTTCAAAGTAAAATGGCCACAACACACGTTGGCAAAAGTCTCTTTCGACAAAACACCCCTCGTCCTTGTGCCCAACCTTTGCTGATGCACCAACTCCCTCTAAACTGGTTTCCTGTGTAAAGTCTCCCATTAAATTTCACGTGCCTTGAGATGAGGTTGACAGCTCCACTGGCTGTGCGCGGAGGGAAGAACTCCAGCGAGAACCAGCGGTCTCCGGACTCCATCCTCCTCCGCATCTTGTCCCGCAGCCTGTCGGCCCGATCGGCGTCCAGCACCGGCGTGGAGCACCGGGAGCTCTCCTTGGAGCTCTCCCCGCCGCTGTTGCTGGCCCCGCTGGAGTCGCTCTTGCCGGACCAGTTGCCATCCCCTCGCTGGACCTGGTTCACCATGATGGGAAGTTATACTGAGAGGGAAGAAAGAAAGTTCTCTGTCACCACTTTAAAATATTTGGTTTCAGCACCGCAACAAACCTCATTCAAAATGTTCTCGCATATCAGTGACCAACCTGGAAACAATGGAACTAACTTACACTTCCTGCCGGGTCTTTCTAAGGAATAAAATGGTTTTCACGGATCATCTTGCTGCTACACAGAGCTCAACAAATGTATCAGACCACCACCAGTGTCAGGTTTATACCACAGCTGCTCTAAATTAACAGCATTGGTAATTCCCTAAATCATTTCCTGTGAAAAGCACACCAAACGCGACTAAAGCAAACAATTAAACTGAACATGACAGCACAGAACACAAAAGCAAACCATCTAGAACATCGAGTCTGCAGCGGCTGACCTGAGTCGACTTCAATTAGTGTCTGAATCAGAGACAACGGAGGGCGTGAGCAGGACCGGCCCGGCCCGGCCTGTCACTAAACTCATGTTTGTAATAACTCAGCTGATCTGTCGGCTCGTTTGAAGGCTCAGCATCCTGACAACAGCAGCAACACATCAACAGAAGCTGAGAACAGAACGTGAGCTGCTCACCCCTCAGATTAAAGATAATACTGAACAAAATCACAGAAAAAAAAGCTGTATTATTACAAATGGGAATTTGTTCTCTGACAACAATTGACTGTGAAATGACAGTTTACTGTTTTAAAATCAGAAAAACATCTTTTACAGATATTTGTTGTTATCTAAAGATAAAGTAAGTAAATCAAAGATTGATGTCGGATAATATCTCGTTAGAACACAAAAAATTACGACGTTAATTGAAGAAAAATCTGCAAATTTTTTTATTTTACAAATAGTAATTTGTCCTTTTATAACGTTAACCATAACATCACACAGCTTTACTGTCTTTAAAGTAGCTGACAGCATCCTCGTTATACAGACATGTCCTGTGGTTTTTACTGGTTCTACTGTGGTTTTACTGGTTCTACACTCCAGCACTCAGCTGCCGCCGTGGTCAACATATGACACCAATCATGAACCAAGTATATAAGTCAGACAGGTGCTCTAATAAAATTGTTCAACACGGTGCGTTATGATGTTTAAGGAATCTTCCCCTCAGTGCTGGTGACGCTCTCTTCCCAGAAAGTTTCGTTTGGATTACTTCTATGACGTTTAGCTCAAAGCCACGTATTTAGTTTTTTGTTCTGATTCCTGCACACAGAGAGCTGAGATTCATCGGAGTCAAATTCCTCGTTTGAGTGTACAAACCAGTTAAGCCAATTCTGACTGTGAGCAGTTTTCGTGGTTCACCAGTTCATTTCTCGTCTACATTCACCCCCTGTCCCGCTGTCGGGTGGCAAAGGGTCGCCTGACCCTGCGGCTTCTTCCAGCACCTGCCTCTCCGTCATGGCAGTAACGCTTGTTGAATTTAATTAATCCTGCATGTTTTAGATGCTTCCTTCTTCCAACACACCTGATTCACATGATCAGGATGGTTATCAGGCTTCTGCAGAGCTTGATGATGAGCTGATCATTTGAATCAGGTGTGTTGGAAGAAGGAAACATCTAAAACATGCAGGATAGGGGCCCTCAAGGAGCCAGATTGGGCACCCCCGATCGACAACATGCTGGGTTTTTACTTTCGAGGACCAGGATTTGCCACCTCTGGTGGTCTTCCATACTTTGCACTTGCTTTGAGCTCAAATGGAATGAATGTTTGTATTCACAGTGAACAATAAAATCAATTATTCCTCCAACTGATCATGGCTTAAACAGAATGATTTTAATGTGAAAGACAAAAATGTAGATACAAGTAAAACACTGATATTCAATTACCATCACCAACTGATGGTGATGGTACAGCTGAAAATCCTTATCAGACTTTGGTGGGCTTTAAACATTACCACTGTTCTCATGCTTTAAGCAAGGACACTTGAAAGAGTTGTGACTGACAATTCATGCTATTTCACGGAGAATTGGTTTCTGTAAATTTGTAAGACAAACACAAACTTTTAGGATCTTGTTAGCATGCTTCTTACATTGGTAGGGGATGGAGCTCAAAATGTCGAATGTTTTCAGACGCTGTATGGAACGCTCCACATGAATCCTAACAAGTCTGTTATGGTTAACCTCTTGCACTGTGAACTGTCCATTAACAAGAAATGTTGGGATGTTCAGTGAAACTCCTTCGGGCAAAATGTCACGTAGAGTGAATCCCTCATCTTCCATCACCGTGTCACCTGGTTCTAGCAGTTGAAGTACTCCACAGTCAGCTGTTATCACCTTGTCTGAGGTATTTCCACCGTACAGGTCACTAGCGAAGGTTATAACTCCATTGGGAGCCACACCGATCGGGGCTTTAAGTGTCGTGCGTCCTTTGTAATGACTGCACAGATGACTCTGGGTGTCCAGTCTTTCTGTGTTGGAGACGGCCACTTCAGTGCAGTCAAGCACAATCTGACAGTCAGGAAATGGCTGAAAGCAAGCTGGTAGGGAGGTTTGGTTCTTGACTCTGGAGGGGATGTTGTTTTCCATCATGCAAAATGTCCCACAGTGCACTGGTGATGGTGGTGAAGATGTTGGTGACCGTAGCACGGCAGCAATTAAACCTTGTTGCAAGGTCTAGGATGCCACAATTTATTCTACGCTTCATTAAAGTAAGTAGCAGCTGATCGATAAGGGGCATATTTTGGACATTCCAATCAAAGTGATGCTTTAGTTCAACTTTGGAGAGAAGGGCTTCCAAAAAGAGGACAGTGGCAGCATCTGGCAAGCCAGTGCAATAACTGACTTTATCAGGGTGGAAGGAGATTTGACTGAATGAAAAGGTTTGCTTTTGTTTCTCCAGTTCGTCATTTTCTTGTCTGAGCACATCATTCTCAACTTCAAGTACCACATCACTTGAAGCACTAGGGGTCTGCGTAGCAACGTTAAGATTGTTTTGGCTCGGACCAGCTATTCCTTCATCATCCACGCTCGCAAAGACCTTTCCTTTTTTACGTTTGGGGGTGATGTGCTTGGCGAAAGCCTTTCCATCATTCCATGCAAACCGTGTTGGCCCAGCTGCTTCGCCATCAGGAAAATGCCACCCACAGACCCTCCAGTTGTAGTTCGGGGTGAACTTGTCACGTGTGTAAAAAGAAAATAAGTGGTAATTAATATTAATGTGCAAGTTCACAAGTTTCACATGAACTTGTTCAAAGTTCAAAAGAGTTCACCAATTCACTTTTGATCTAGTCACTCATAACTGGTTCGACTAGTTCACTGAGTTCATGCTCATAACATTAAGTTTTTTTTAGATACGGGAATTTATAGCACAATAAACTTCTTCACTCCTTATCAACTAGTTCATGCACAACCCTGATAACATCTTCCATATCAGGCTCCCTCTGACTTGCAGAACCAACTTCTCTTATCGGGTGTGTGGTTTAGATCTACTAGAATCACTAAAGTCATTTCAAAGTCTAATGATTTGTTAGACAGCACAGATACTGGCTGTCTATCTTGGCATACACACATTACTGGTTCAATTACAGTTCAAGAAAGATAACGACAACCTTAAAAGCACTTTGAAGTGTTGACAACAGAAACAAAGTTAGCACCTGCTTGTGGTCCCGTTTGGGTAGCTGGTAACCGCGAGTCGGTTGTTATTGTTAATCATCTGGAGTTACTTACCGTATCAACTTCAGCCATTTCTTCTTCTCCTTCTCGTCACAGGGAAATTAGTAAAACAAAATCTCTTCGTCGTTTTGATTTGAACAACACGGGACACACACTGCACCATTTTAGCCGAGCGCTTAGACCAGGGGTGTCGACATCCTGGTCCTCGAGGGCCGCAATCCTGCATGTTTTAGATGCTTCCCTCTTCCAACACACCTGATTCAAATGATCAGGATCGTTATCAGACTTCTGCAGAGCTTGATGATGAGCTGATCATTTGAATCAGGTGTGTTGGAAGAGGGGAAACATCTAAAACATGCAGGATTGCAGCCCTCGAGGACCAGGATTGGACACCCCTGGCTTAGACCATTGGACCATACTGGACATGGAAGTGGCTTTTTCGGACACGATGACGTAGACGCTAGCCATGCCCATTACAACAGCAGTTTTTATCCTTTAGTAACATTTTGCATCAAGTATGAAAACAAGAATGAATGAAACACGAGTGATGCGGCGATCAGATACGCTGCAACAACATCCAAAGTAGTTTTTAAACTATGTTACGACCAGCTTGACCTCATTTGACCTCTTGTGCTCCTGACACCACGAGGCTTCCTCAAGCATTTGCTGACCGACGTCCGGCTGGCAGCAATCCCCACACCGCTGTGGGCGTCTCTGTGCCAGCAAAACCTCCAGAATCTTCTCGAATATCAAACTTCACAGAGCAAGGCAATGAACAGTTTGCAGTTTGCACTTTGACATGTTGTTGTTGTTGGCCATTCACAGGTTCTACAAAATACCAGCATGGGAATGTTTGCATAAACTAGAGCTTTTTCATGCAACCTTCCACCTACATTTCCTGGAGGCTGCTGTTTTCCAGGTCCAGCTGTTTGACTGCAATGATTCCCAATAACTGGCAGAACAAGCTAAAAAAAGTTTCCCTGCTTAAATCACGCTGCACAGCAGAAGCAGACCACAAACACGGGTAGACAAAACTTTAGAGCAAACTCTCCAGTGAGCTGGCTGACTAGTCCTCGGTGGCGGCTCGTTAATCACAAAACTGGACACCTGCTCACTGTTGTAGTTCAGCTGCACAGAGCCTGCTAGCTGTGATGCTAAACACAGCGAGCTACCCGGAGCGAGAGCCTTTAGAAAGACAAACACGGAAGTAACTGTGCGGAAGTTTTCGAGGTAAACTCGGGTGCTCTCTGTGTGTCTAGAGCAAACACCGACGTCTCTTACCTCCAACGGCCAGTTGTCTGCGTGTTGGGACCAGATTACCATCCAAGGCAGGGCAGGCAGCTGCTCCAACGTGGGAAACGTCCTGTCTTCTTCTTTCGCTTCGATTGACCGACCGCCGCGCACTACCGCCCCCTGCCGGACTGGAGTGTGGACAGAAATAGAATAGAAGATTTTTATTGTCAATTTCTCTACAAATCCAGGACATATAAATTAACTGAATGAATACAGCCCTCGTATTAGTGCCAAACATTTTAAAAAATGTCAAAGGATCAAAATAAAGTATAAATAAAAAAAAGTAGAGTCGTGCAATCTGGTGACGGCTTATCGAGGTGATAGGAGTGCAAATGGTTCAGTAAGTGAAAGGAGAAAAAAGTATGCAAAGAAACAGAGAAAAACCGACATTGTCTGAATTAGTCCTGTTTTCTTACCTCCCAGTAGGCTGCCCACAGTGATACTTAAATTAGCTTTCTTTCTAACTCATAGATTCAAGCAGCACATGCTGAACGAACATGAGCTCACCACAGTGTGTCTATCAGTGTCTCATTTAGCACAGTATTCCTGAGACCGGTGTTAAATCCTTTTTTCTTTTCAGTTCCTCCCCTGCCTCTTTCTCAAACCCATACGCCTGATTATAATCCAGATGTCCTATTGTGTGGGTTTTTTTTATGTCCCAGTGTTCTTGCCACATTTTATTTTTTTGTATTTGTCTTTCAAAAACTGACTTACCCTCAGGCTTTGTTCATCTCAATTTAAAATACTGAAATAACTGGAATAACCCTAAATTAACAGCATTGGTAATTACCAAAATAATTCCTTCTGTTTCTCTAATGGTTAATACACCAGGATGTAGAAGCTCTTTAAAAAGCTGGAGACCGGTTTGATGCCAGATGCATTGCACCCACAGTGAAACGTTATGGTATAGGTTTCCTGAACAAGAACATCGACCACAACACCTTAGTACATCATGGAATCCCTTCTGGACTGAATCTGATTGCTTGTGGGTTCATATACCAACAAGACAATGAGCCCAAGGATACTTCAAAGTCCGGATTTGTATCCCATTGAACAGATTTGGGATGTAGTGCATTCAAAGATTGATCACGCAAAAGTTTAATCTAAAGCAAGTCTGTGGGAACAGCTAGAAACTATCTGGAACTCAGTAACCAAAGAGACTGTCGAAAAGTAAATAAAAACGATGACAGCAAGAATGCAAGATGCTATCAAGGCCAAGCAAGGCCATGCAAAGTTTTTGGGTTATTAGGTGTGGAAAATGGACTATTTAGTTGTTTCCGTTTGTAATTTGCCGAATAAATAACAACCTTTTTTTGGTTTTAAACAATTTTTTCTTTTAAAGATTTGTAAAATACTTATGCTTTCTCATTTTTATGACGGGTAGTCTAATAAATTTATTAAACCTGCAGATTATCTGAATTCAGAATTACACAGTCCTACAAGCAGCTCCTGCTAGTTTAATGGCTTTTCCTCGCACCATCATTGGGAAGTTATTCTTCACCATCTACACATTTAACCCTTTAACGCCAAGTGTATCATATTTTAGTATGATGTTTTTTTTTCATGAAAAACCTGATATATACAAACAGACACAGATAATTCACCGTGGATCGTAATTAATGCAACAAATATGCCGAATGTAGCAAAACTAATGCAAATTATATATTCAAATTGATATATATATATATTTAGTATTTTTCAGAAGGAAGAAAAATATTCCACTTTCAAATAATTTTAATTTTCTGGCAATTATCTCATGGTTCGGCTTTTGTTTATTTCAGACAACAGGCCTGTGCGTCACTTCCGCGGAGTTGTGACGTTTACGGCAGTCCGCTGTCTTTTTCTCACGTGACACTGGGTTTGCTGCTTTTAAGTGTCGTGCGAAATGTGCGTTTTGGCACTTATGAGTAGATTTTCAGACCGAATTTGAGGACACAACCACATTGTACACCTCTTATTTGCTCTATGTTATACTTTTTAATAAAATCACCTAAAAAAGCAAACAATTTTCTCTTTCTTGCAGCGGTTTGAATCTGTCACACTTAAACCGTCGCGGCCGTTTCACCGCGGGGCCCTGAACGCAGCATGACACAACAACGAAGATGGCGTGTTGTGGAAACTGTTTTTGTTGCCAATGCTGCTGCAGAGAACGAGAGACTCGCACTCCGGAGGAACTGGTGAGGAAACACGGCCGGAACCGGGAACAGCATGCGTTGTTTGTGGTGTTTTTGGACCACACTGGGTTTCGCAGCTCGCCTCGGTGCTGGACTCCGGTCTCCTGCTCCACCCTGCTGCTCACTCACTATCCTCTGTTGCCTTCAATATTTATATATAAGACACGATTACCTTGAGTCCATTCACTTTGTGTGAACCCAGCAGTTGCCTCTAATAACTCTACTTTCTGTGCAATTTCGCCTCACAGGGAGGATGCTTGCTGCTTCTCTTAAAGGCGATGAAGCCTGTATTTGACCAAACTTTGACATTTCCGTGCTTTGCACAATCCCTTTATCAACTGGGCATGCATGTCTAAATGCATGTGGTGCAGTGAATGCGTCTTAAAGACATCTGTGGCTGTGAATCGTGGATATAATAGAACAGAATAGAAATGCTTTTTAAATTAAATTCGGTTGTTACAGCAGAAAGGGTAAAGTTACCACCACCATACATACAGATAAACATAAAAGCATGATCAGTGTAATATATACTGTAAGTAAAAATGTCCCATGTGGTAACCTTTAAGTAAAAGATTTACGAATGTCAAAGTGTTTTATGTGTAATGCAAATAATGTGCAAGAGCAGAAGAAGCTTCTCCAAGTAACTCTGTGAAAAGGTTATTTAAAAAAGCAGAAGTCAGGGGATGGATACAAGAAACTTTCCAAATCCATTGTTAAGAAATGGAAGGTTTATGGCGCGTTTTTTAATCTACTTAAAGCAGGTCGGCCTCAAACTGGCTGAAGGTGCCGTTTCCCAGATTCTTTGTGGGACAGTTGAAGAAAACTTGTATTAAATCTCTATTAGAATTCACCAGAACGCATGCTAGAGAGTCAACTGGGTGACGTTTCTTTGGTCTAATGAGACCAAAACTGAGCTTTTTGTCCGTCAGACCAGATGCTCATTACAAACACACCATGAAGCATGATGCTTGGTGGCGACGTGCTCCTCAGCAGGAAGGCTTGAGAGAGTTTGACGATGTCTGCAAGAAAACTGCGAGTTGGGAGAACATTTGTTTTCCAGCAAGATCGTGGCGCGAAGCATACAGCCAAATAGCTAAAGGACAGCTAGTTCATGTTGTGGAGTGGCCGAGTCAAAGCCCAGGTCTCAGTCCAATTGAGAATTTGTGAAAGGTGCTGTTCATTCTTGATCCTCGTGTAGCCGGGAAGAGTTTCGCGAAGACGAATGGGGGGTAAATTGTCCAAATGTGTGAGGCTGATCGATACCTGTTCACTCAGGCTTGATGCTGAACTTGAAGCTCACGGTGCATCTACTGTTGAAGGAGGAGAATACTCATCAAACCACTTGATTTATGGTTTATATCTTTAAATAACTGACTTTTGCAAATCTGTTTTCACTTTGACATGATACAGATTTATTTATTTTTTGGTAAATTCGTGTCTAAAAAGTTAAATTCTATTTACCACGATTCAGTGTTGAAAAGCAATAATGCAAAAGGGAAACTGGCAGGAGGATAAAGACTTCATATAGGCGCTTTTAGGTAAATTCAAGTTTGCCTTAAAGTTCCACAACCTCACCTTCTGTCAAGTATTTGCAAAATAAGGCAACATTGATTTGACAGAATTCTGAATAGAGTCTGGTGTGTTCTTCTAGATATGCAAAAATCCTCATCAATATCTCACCAAGACTACATAAAAGATTGAATGTATAATTTTCTGTGAATTATATGGCATTCACCTTGACTGGGGGATGAGTCTGCATTCCTTTACTTACTTTACTTGCCTTTCTTGTGTTTTCCAGACAATCCTTGGGGAAATCCGAGATGAAGAGGATGAGATCCTACCCAGGAAAGACTATGAGGTGAGAGTCCTGTAAAAACAAATAGCCAATCGGAGAAGAGCCAGGGTTGATGGGCTCATGTTTCTGTCACTGGATCAGGTCATGGTTACAGTGTTTGTTTTGGCTTTTATAGAGCCTGGATTATGACCGCTGCATCAGTGAGCCCTACGTGGAGGTTCTGGAGGGGATGAACAACAAGGTGAGACTGACGTGGACAGCGTGGACAGGGCATGCACACAGGGCATGCACACAGGGTTCGATTTGCGTGTCTTCAGCTTATCATTATTATTGTTGTTGTGCACGTGTTATTCATAGCACGTGTACTACAACAATAACCATGCATCTGTCACCAGTTTTCCTTTTAAGGCAGGTTCGATTTGTATGTCTTCAGCTTATCAAACCTGCCTTCAAAGAAAAACCGGTGACAGATGCATGGTTATTGTTGTGCACGTGTTCTTAATAACTGGGGACATGCATTGTAGTTTATTGCTTTATTACTATTATTACTTTACTTTGATAATAAAGATAAAGATAACTTTATTGATCCAACAGTGGGGAAAGTTCACCGTTACAACAGCTCCAAAAAACAAGTGTACAGTCAGTGCAAGAATAATTGGGAGCACCCAGTGCCATCAGGTTCATCGTTACTTGAGTGTGAGCTGGTGTTCCACAAGGCTGTGTTTTAGGGCTACTTTTGCTTTTAGTTTTTGGATTTTGATAGTTGATTTGCAGACACTAGTTTCCTCTGAAACCAAACTGCTATTCTAGATATTGAAGTGGATCACATATTAAAATAACTTAAGTTAAACAAACTGGCCCCACAAACAACAGCATTAAGCAGGGATATAAGCATCGCTTGTTGTTTTAAAATTATTAAATCCTTTGGTACAAGATCGACGCCAGAAAAGAGTCACATATTTAAATCCATGACATTTGAATTCTTTGTTTGCGATGTTATGTCAAATGTTGTTTTTTTTTTTTTTTTCCGCCAACAGAAAGCCAAAAAATACGAGGCTGTGCGATGGATGATGGTGTTTGCTATCGGGGTGACGGTGGGTCTGGTAGGTGCTTTCTGGGTGTTTTCGGTTCGCTCGATTTAACACGCTGCAAATGAAGAAATGCTAACTTCTTGTCTCCATCAGGTGGGTCTGTTTGTGGATTTCTTTGTACGCCTCTTCACCAAAATCAAATTTACTCTGGTTGGTGATTGTATCCTTCAATGTGGGTTTGTGGGTTTCCGAATGTGAAAAAGCTGACGTGCACACCAGAGTTTCATGATCTGCAGAAGCTTTCTTGAAAAATGACACTCGGAGGTCATAATGATTAGTAGAAATTTGTGTTATATTGTTTGATTCTGATATTTCAAGACTTTGCCATAATTTAGCGGTAAGTCCAACAACTTGAAGAATACACATGAAGTTGTGTCAACATTCAACGTATTGCATGAAACAGTGATTTTATTCTCATTGTTTTCTGATCAACTTTATTCATGCAATGTCTGCCTTTTGTCCCTCATGTTATCGCTCTGTGTAACTCTGCAAGGACAGTAAGGCGTATACATTCAGACTACTCTATCAGGCACACCTTTAAAATCGTACAGGGTCGTGTACATTAACGCAGCTGTTTCCACCTTTTCAGGGTTTGTCACACCGAAACCCCGATATTCGTTGTTCACACAAAATTATATCATGCGATAATAAACAAAAAACTGAATCTATGCTAATAAGTTATCAAAGTCTCCAACTAACCAACAGCCAAGTTTATTTATCATTTCCTAAACACCCAAAACTCTGATGAAAATCTAACGACTGCTTGACCAACAGCAATCGATCCCAAGGATGATTTATGATGATAACTCAAGTTACTGTTGCTGCTCTGCATAAATGCACACCGCTGTCTCCCTTTTAAGATGCTCGTACGCATCCTGAAGCTGCAGGACTCGCTCTGGTGGTGTTTAATCACCTCACACAACTCAAAAGCAACGTTGCTTGTACAAGGCTATACATTAACGTGACTGTGTGTGGTTTATACTTGTGCTAGGACGATTGCGACTTTTGTGGAAAAGGGACCACGGTGAACATTCGTACACAGATTAATGGAAAAGAGTGCAACTTTGAAAGGAGCTTAATAATCTGAGCACGGTACAGGATGAAGGTTGGGGAGAGAAATAGTCAGTTTGGCCCCATCAACTCGAAAAGTAAATCCCATTTCTATCAGATGAAACTCCTCAGTACCAGTGTTGATGGCGATCCTCAGCTCTGCATTAGATCTTCTTCACCTCATTGTTCTGAGGAAATCTAAATGAGGAGACTAAGCTGTTCTGCAAAATGGGGCATTGAGGGAAAATACATTTGCAGAGGAATATGTCAAACTGCAGGACGTCATAAATACCGATTGAGTGAAGAACCCCTGATGCCAATGCACTGTAAACATGTATCATGTGTTTCAAATGTAGGGATTTACAAAAGCTACGGAGCAGAAATCTGGACACATTTAGGGTTGTGAGACAAAAAAACTGCTTTACGTCTGCATGCGTGCATGACTAGAAACTAACTAAGGACACAACTACTGATCATTACAATACAAACAAATACAAAGAAATGACCTAAAAGGAAACAGAATTACAACAAAACAGGTGTGGAGACTAAATGGATAACCGTCACTTGAAAGTCATTTAGATGGTATTCTTGAATTTAGCGGAATCCATTTGTGCAAGGAGACAGAGTTTTGAAACAAGGATTGGAGGTTTAAAGTATATGGAAGTTGACTTACGTGTCGTCGAGTCTGATGAGGAGTGAGTCTGCAGAGTGTCCTGCTGGAGGTTGTTGGCATTAACACGTGGACAGAGTGAAGAGCCTTGCCCCAGTCAATGCGAGAAGTCAGGGATGTGTTCAGGTGATGGCGTTTTAAAAGGATTTTTCACACGTTTATCACCCAAGAAAGAAGGCATTGATTAATTCCACAGGACAAGTCACAACTCTTGGGTCACTTTACTTACCTCATAGCACACTCTTGGGTCATACTTCTAGGAACGAACATGAGACTAGACATCATTGGACTAACTTAAACTATTAGTCGGTTTCAAATTAGCTGCATAGACGCACTGGATAAACAGGGAGCTACAGCAGTGATTATAGGAAAAGTTCCTCTGACTGGCGTAGACTTTTGGACAAATCAATATAACAAAAAGGCTGACTTCAGGGGAATGGAACGATTGTCTTATGTGTGAGGGTGTCCTTTGATCCTGGTGGTGGTGTGAGTTGTCACTCTCAGGATGTGTTTGAGGGTCTGAGACAAACACTCAGCTCCAGGTTAAGGGTCGATTCTTGTTTGGCTGAACGTTGCCCAGGGTTTCTTCTGATGTGGCGCTACAGATCAAGAGTCCTCTGCACTTCAAAAAGGTGTCGCGTTGCTGTAACAACGGATGTAGTTGAAGTGGTGTTTTGGTGTTTAGAACTTATTTGCTGATCAGTCAAAGAGACACTGGAGACAGGAAACACTTGATGTTGTCATTGTGGAGACACCCAAGAAGTGGGTGGATGTCTTCCTGTTAGTGGTTAGTCATGCTTTGGAGTTTGCTGTTCGTATACGTAGTGTTGTTACGGCTGGATTTCACTCTACTCCACAGTGTGTATGAAGTATAAAAGTATGCAATCAAGGTGCAATTGAAGTTTCAGAGACTGTGGCTGTTTTACTTTTGGCCGCAATACCTTTAGAAATAGTCTGCTTGTCCACCGACGTACCGCTTGCTTGGAACGCTTCCTGCAAGGCGTCTCAAAGATAAATATAACAGGTACCGACGTTGATCCAGCGACATCCAATATAAACAGTTCTCCAAAATGAGTCCCTTTACAAAATGCACTTTTGAGAAGTGTTTTGGCTTGTTCCAAAAAAAAAAAAGAAGTCTAACATTAATACCAACTGACTCGAGAGGTTTTAATGATTCTCCATTTATTACAGAAGCTTCAGACAGTAAACTTAAGACAAAAAAAACGAAGCAGCTTGTAGTTGCCACAGTTACAGTATCATTGTGTGTACATGCCATTACATTACTACTCTAATGTAGCTCTGACAGCAATAGAAACAGACTCTGCCGCCTTGTTTGTGTTTATTCTCCTTAATCCGAACACCTCCAGCTGTAGAGAAGTGCAGCGACAAGGGCTGTCTTTCGCTGTCTTTGCTGGAACTCTTGGCGTTCAATTTGACCTTCATCTTCATCGCCAGTGTGCTTGTCCTCATTGAGGTAAGGTTGCTCACAAACACACAGTTTTTCCAACTCATGGCAGCCTTCTGTTTCCACTGACTCCCATAACTCTTTATTTTCTGTGATGGAGTCGTTGAAACCCATGTGTCTTTGTCACAAAAATCGATCATGCATATTCTTCCGTAGATTTATTGTAGGTCTTCAGGAAGTTTGACAAGATCGGCAAGTTGAAAAACATGCATATAGCAATGTTAATATTTGGTTAAATGTTCCCTTGGCCATTTTCACCTCTTTTAGGTGCTTTTTGTCGCCGTCCACAAGCTTTGGAGGAGCCTCTGGTTGTGTCTGTGGTCAGTTCTGTTGACAGGTTTGATGCAGTTTAACTAAATTTGTTGTCCTTCTGACACAGACTTGTTATTCATCATAATCCACAGATACGTGATGGGATTTAGGTCAGCGCTTTGGACAGGCCAGTCTAAACCCTTAGTTCTAACTTGATCTAGCCTTTTCTTTACCTTTTGATGTGTGTTTGGGATCATCGTCTTGTTGGAACTCCCAACTGCATCCGAGACCCAGCAGTCTGTTGATGGGTTTAGGTTTTCCTGAAGAATGTGGAGGTGATCCTCCTTCTTCATTGTTCCATTTACTTTGTGTAAAGCTCCAGTTCCACCTTCAGCAGATCAGCCCCAGAGCATGATGCTGCCACCTCCATGCTGGATGGTACGTTTGGCGTTCTGGGGTTAAAGGCCTCACCTTATCTCCTCTAAGCATATTGTTTGTCATTGTGGCCAAATAGCTCAAATTTGGTTCCATCTGACCACAGAACTTTCCACCAGAAGGCCTTTTCTTTGTCTGTGTGATCAGCAGCAAACTTAAACCTTAAGGTGCTGCTGCTGGAGGAAGAGTTTCCTTCTTTCATGGCAGCCTCATGGTGATGCAAAACACGCTTGACTCTGGACACTGACAGCTGTGTTCCAGCAGCTTCTAATTCATTGCAGACCTGCGTTTTGCTCATTCCTGGTTGACTCTTGACCATCCTGACCAATCGTCTCTTAGCAGCAGCTGTTAGTTTGTGTTTCCTTCCTGATCACATCAGTGACACAACTGGACCATGAACTTTATACTTGTTTGCACAGATGATTTAGGGATCTGTAGCTGCTTTGAATTGACTCCAAGTGACTTTCCAGACTTTGTTCAAGTCAGCGATTTGCATTTTCAGATCTTTGTTGACTTTCCCACTCTATGTTTGTGGCTAACGAGTGGATTAGGCCCTATTTAAGTTGGCTCAGAGAAGTCAGCAGCTGGAGTCAATCGTAATCACTGATGAGAAGTTACGAGGCCGTGGCACTAAGAACAATCGACTAACACAGCTTTCTACATCACCAAACCTGATAATTCAAGTTGCTGTGTGTATATTTCTGACCCAGCTGACTTTGTCATATTTTCAGAGGACCTATAATGAATTTATCAATGAACCAATATATGTTTTTTAATAACAACGACTCATGGCTTTCAATTATTCCACCAAAGAAAATTAAGCGTTACAGGGGTCACTAGAAACACAAGACTGCTAGAGTCTTTACAAATGTATGTAAGCTTTTGTTTCCAACCACATGTTTAGATTCCCAACCTGAGGTTCACTACAAGTCATACCCCGCTCTCTGCTCTTGTTCCCCGACTTTCTACTCTGTCAAATGTCAAATAAGTAGAGAAATGTGACAAAAGCTCTTTTTGAATAAACACGTCTTTAAGAAAAGAAGAATCCTATCTGCTGCATATTCCATTAGTAAGAGACCTGGCCATTAAGCATCATGTGGTGACGTTAACATGTGGTGTTTTTCAGCCCGTAGCTGCAGGTTCAGGGATTCCAGAAATCAAAAGTTACTTGAACGGAGTGAAGGTTCCTGGAATCGTCCGACTTCGAACTTTTCTCTGCAAGGCGACTGGAGTCCTTTTCAGTGTGGCTGGAGGTAAAGGGCTTTAGAAATCCACTGATATTTTACACTGCATGTCTTACACTCCCTGGCAACAACATGGAGACAGTGCTGAGTTGTTTTGGTTTTTCTTTACCAGAATTCAGTATTTCTGATTTAGATTTTTAACTTGTGTTGTAACAAATGTTTGTCTTCGGCAAAACTGCTGCATCATGATGGTCTCAGTGTTTGTATTTGACTGTCCACAAGAGGAAATACTTACATTTCAACTTTGAAATAATGCAGTTACTTAGATCCAATACAGTTTTGAATCATCAGATATTTACGCGACCTGTGTTATATAACGTCTTGAGATGGGATCAGCAGGCAGGTGGACAGAACCTCTGACTCAGTGTGTGTCCACACAGGTCTGTTTGTGGGGAAAGAAGGTCCAATGATACACAGTGGAGCCATCGTCGGAGCCGGTCTTCCTCAGGTACACTGATACGACATTGTGTTTTGTACTCATGGCATGTTTGCACAAAATGACTGCGTTAAGACTTTTGGGTTCATGTCAGATTTAGTTTATTTACATAAAATATCCATTTATTCAAGCCCACGTTACCTTTAAAAGAACAACAATGCTCACACCAGTCACATGGTTTTTAAAGGTGCTTGACAGACATCCTGCAGAGCTTAGGAAAACCTGTACTTCTGTTTATTTTTCAAGTCCAACTCAGCATATTTAGGCAAGAAGCCTCGTCGTAATCAATGCATGTTTACGTTACTGCATTAAGCTGTTAATATTGTGCAGAGTAGCCACTTTCTCTTGGCGTGACTCAGCAAAGCAGGTTGCATTTCCCCGTACGAACACTGCTCTACCAACGAGGTGTTGTTATCAGCCGAGCAAACTGTCTGCAGTCGTGGTGTCTCGGGTTCAACGATCCAACGTGAAGGTGAAAGAAACCCAACCTGAATGCCTGAGCTGTGAATATCACGAAACAGACAAAGAACGTGGACCGTGCAAACTCAAGACTCGCTACCGTTTCAAAAATAAAAGCTGTTGCGTTTCACTGGAGAGGAAAACCTTGATATTTAACAGGGCTTTTATTGTGAAACAGTTGCAGGCGTGCCATGCAGAGCACCAGCCGGCTGGGACTGTGTTTTCCCTGGCGTGTATGAGGACGCCTGGACCTTATTTGTCTGTAAACGCTTGACAGATTGCTGGTTTTTAGTCGAGTACATACAGTATACAGTTTCTCCATTTTAGCAGAAGAAAAACAGTGAAGTAGAAGACGTGTTATTGCTCTTTGTTGTGGTCATCATTACCCCAAGCTTTTGCACAGTCCTGACTGTAGTATATTGATGCATTTGACTGTTATCATGGCCTAAATATGTTCATCAGATATTCTCCCCCCATTTCAGTTTCAGAGCATCACTTTCAAGAGGATCAATTTTGACTTCCCCTACTTCCGTAGTGACAGGTATGGCTCTGCTACACGGCCTTACTGTTCGCTCTTCCCAGGCACCGCAGGTATTAAGTGCAGCTCATTGTGTCGTCTTATCTGCTCTTCAGGGACAAGCGAGACTTTGTGTCCGCCGGTGCTGCTGCCGGAGTCGCTGCTGCGTTCGGTGCTCCGATCGGCGGCACCCTCTTCAGTCTGGAGGAAGGCTCCTCGTTCTGGAATCAGGCCCTCACTTGGAAAGTGGTAGGTCAGTCTATGCTGTTAATAACATAACGGCTGGAGGTTTTTGCCGTGGTAGTCGCATAAAGATCTGGGGTTGAAATATAACAAGCAATGAATTCTGTTTCCCTATTTACTGTGTTGTTGTGTAGCCGGAGTAGACTGACGTGTTTTTGGTTCAGATCAAAATTTGGTTCAGACATTTGTGTTCCATCCACCCATCCATCATCTATACACCGCTTAATCCTCATTTGGGTCGCGGGGTGGCTGGAGCCTATCCCAGGGGACACCCTGGACAGGTCGCCAGTCTATCACAGGGCTACACTTAGAGACAGACAACCACATTCACACCTACGGACAATTTAGAATCACCAATTAACCTCAACATGTTTTTGGACTGTGTGGGAGGAAGCCGGAGAACCCGGAGAGAACCCACGCTGCACGGGGAGAACATGGAGACTCCACGCAGAAAGATTCCGGTGCCCCCACCGGGACGCGAACCGGCAACCTTCTTGCTGCGAGGCAACAGTGCTACCAACTGCGCCACCTTGCAGCCCACATTTGTGTTCCATTCAGGCTAAATTGTAATTGAAATAAATGTAATTACACACAGTGCTCGGATCACCACAGGTTTAAGTCACAGATGCCCTAAATTAACAGCATTAGTAATTACCAAAACATTTCTTATGTTTCTGTAATGCGCTGGCGTCCCATGTTGAGGGGCTACAGTCCCCGATGTGGAGGTCAGGAGTTCGAATCCCGCTCATGGCTCCCGCTCATAAAAAGACACATAACATTTTTCTTCTCTCTGTCTGACATTAAATCAGACTGAACTTTTCCTTTCTATTTGCTAAATGCCAGGTTTTTTTTTATTATTTTCTTCAAAGTCAGAAGTTTACATCCACTAAGATGCTTTCAAACTATTTGGGAAAGCCCAGATGATGATGTCATGGCTTTGGAAGCTTTTGATTGGTTAATTGACAACATGTGAGTTAATTGGAGGCACACCTCAAACACGCTGCTTCCTTGAGGGGGAACTGTTTGAACTGTAAATATTAGTTGCCCACATGTTTGTTTTATTCAGAAATGCCGCCTTTTTAGGTATAATGATCAGTTCCATTCCTCGCTGTTATCATGCACAACTGTGTTTCCTCAGTGCTCCTCAGAGTTCCTTGGAGGTGCAGCATGGAAGTCCAGGATGGATGCAAAGCACAGCAGGATGCACTAACCATTGAGTATTTCTTACCTCATTCGTTCTATCTTTCGTTTCAGCTCTTCTGCTCCATGTCGGCCACTTTCACCCTCAACTTCTTCCGTTCAGGGATCAACTTCAACAAGTGGGGTTCCTTCCAGCTGCCTGGTCTGCTCAACTTTGGGGAGTTCAAGGTAAACACCAATGAACCGAAACTAATCTAAACGATTCCCTCAGAAAAGAAAGAAAGCAATATTACAATGTCATTAAAGTCAATTTTATCCTGACAGCCGTGTCATTGCATGAGGCAGCATGATGCGAATTGGAAGCAAAGATTTGCGTATTAAACTGTAGAGTTAAACTGGAAACCTGAATGGCATCGCTGTGGTGTCTCTCCAACACCGCGGTGAAGCTTTATACCTGCAGGATGTTATATAAATATAAGTTCCTCCCTGATAACATACAATAACCGTTCAGAGGCAACATTGGAAACTGTTAATTAATCGGAAACCTGCATTTTAAAATGCCATTTGTTCGTTCCACCATGAAGAGTAGATGCTCACAGTTAGATTAATAGAATAATGTGGAACAGTGAAGGTGTTCTTGGGGTTTTTTAAGACGTACACAAGCATCAGATTTGAAGCAAGTAGGAAAGATACGGACATATAGCTTTAAGGTTTTGAGTTTCTCTTAATTTTTGTGTGATATATTTTATTTTTTGCCTGAAATAAACCAACGAATCCCAAGTCAGGACAGCTAAGGAGCTCTAGTGACCTTCACCTGGAAACAAAGCGTCGTCATGTTTACCCTCGTTGCACAACTCTTTTCCGCTCAGTGTGCAGACGGAGACAAGAACTGCCACCTGTGGACGGCGGTGGACCTGGCCTTCTTCGTCCTGATGGGCGTGGTGGGCGGCCTGCTGGGGGCGCTCTTCAACTGCATCAACAAGAGCCTGGCCAAGTATCGCATCCGGCACATTCACCCCAAGGCCAAGTTCATCAGGTGACCTGTTCAACACGGAGAACCGTCCGTCTTAAAACGCAGCAACCGTCCGTCACGTCGGCTGTGCTTCACGCGTGTGAAAATGTGACGTACAAGTACAGACGTTCTGATTTTGCGTTTCTTTCCCAGAGTTCTAGAAAGTCTGCTGGTTACCATGGTGACAACAGTCGTGATCTTCGCAGCTTCCATGCTGCTGGGCGAATGTCGAGATCTGTCGTCGCCGACAACACACAACGGCACAGTAAGCGACTTCTGTTGTTACGAAACTGAACAGGAGCACCACAAGGTCCATTCCTGCTGCACTTTTATTCCTAACACTTGACTTGAAAGTTTAATTATTGCCTGCTGTTGGCGTAAATGTTTGTTTTTAAATGATGTTGCATGTGATGACGCTCCTGAACACTGCAGCTGGAAGGTTATCCACTTAAATTAACTTAAATGAATATACAATTAATACGTTCATCACATCATTTTGTGGTCCTTATGTGGGTTTAGGTCAATAATTTTGTTAACTATATCATCCAAACAATCGAATAGAATAAGACTAAAAATGTAAATGATATGTTATATCCCCATGACCACGTCTCATGCTTTGATGGACTCTGCTGGGACGGTAAATAAATAAAATGGCATTTCCTGTTTTATTTGAAAGATCTGAAAATTTAGCTTTTTTTAAATTGACTTTTTTTTTATGTACCTTTATTTAATCAGAAAGTCTCATTGAGATTAGAAGCCTCTTCTTATAAGGAGACCTGGCCAAAGTAGCAGCCGTACAAAATAAAAAGCTGAAGAAACTGTCTTGTGTTATTTATTAACTAGTTTTTATTTATTTTAAACTTATTTTATTGATCGAATTCTCCATTTACTCACCTGTTTACATATTTTAGTCTTTTTTTTTATTGTAGTGTTTATCACTTTGTTTTTAGCATTTCTTATTCTGTTTTTTAAATTCTTGATTTTATTTTCTTATCTTCTAATAATAGGTTTGTGTGTATTTATTTATCTTATTTCCTTTTATCACACCTGGTGTTTCCTCAGTTCTTCAATTCCAGCGTCTTAACGTCCTTTTATTGATATTTTGAGGTTGTTTGTATTGTTTTATTGTACTTTTACTTTCTGTAAAGCACTTTGTGTTGCATTTCTGTTTCCATGAATAGTGTTATAGAAACAAAGCCTGACTGATTGATTATATTAAGTTGTGACTTTTGTTTTCAGCTAGCCAGCACTGATGACATCAACTCCACCATCCGCTCGTTCTTCTGCCCCAACAAGACCTACAACGACATGGCCACGCTGTTCTTCAACCCACAGGAGGCTGCCATCCACCAGCTCTTCCACCAGGATGGTGAGCTGACGACGCCTGCACACATGTAACAGTTGTATCGTAGTTAAATCACAGGCGGCTGTGCTTCAGGCTTTAGAGCAGGTTGTCCACCATCACCAGATACTGAACCAGAACGGCAGCAGACCAAAACAACCACCAGTGTCTCGTTGTTCCCTCTCAGGTACCTTCAGCCCGGTGACTCTGTCGGTGTTCTTCCTGTTGTATTTCCTGCTGTCCTGTTGGACGTATGGCGTGTCCGTCCCCAGCGGACTCTTTGTTCCTTCGCTGCTGTGCGGTGCAGCTTTTGGACGTCTCGTCGCCAACATCCTCAAAGTGTAAGAACAGAGTGTTCCTATGTTATAATGACCAGAGTGTGTTTCCCGTGCTCAGTGGCGACCAGATATCACAAATATCTGAACATGTCAGAATACCGTTTGCGACAGAAAATTAATGAAATTGAAAAAACACCTAAAGATACAAATATTTTTAGCTCGAGTTGGTGTAAACCACAAACAGCAGTGAAAGGGGAGTCGGGCCAACATGGACACAAACACAGTCTGCTAGCCAGAGACGTGTGCTTTTACCTTGTAATTATTAAATAAAGAGTTGGAACATTTATAGGTTAGCTTGTCTCTGGGTCAGTCTGCACAATGAAGGGACTGACTTTGAAGGGAAATGCCCTAAAATCTGCTTAAAGGACTGTTTTCTTCTGTTGCAAGTCTTAATGCTAAGCTAGGCTAAACACTCCAGCTTTAGACGCACACACACATATAAGAACAGTGGATACACACAAGCTCAAACTTCTAAACAGCTGCTTTAGGGAGAAAGTTCGGGGGATTGTTGGTCGTCCGGTATTAAAAAGCCAGAGTTTGGTGAGTCCAGTCCGCTCGGTGGAATGTGCTGACTGGAGGATTTTTCCGTCTCACTTCCCTCTGCTGGCTTTGAGCTCTTGCCAACTGTGGGAAACAGCCTGTTGACACAAGTCTTTATGAACTTGAACCCGCCTTTTGACACAGTACCCTCTGCCGGTTCTTACTGTGAGTCCGTCTGCTTTCAGGAAGCTGGGCATGGATCTGTACTCGGGGACGTTCGCCCTCATCGGAGCCGCTGCCTTCCTCGGAGGTGTCGTCAGAATGACCATCAGCCTGACTGTCATTCTCATCGAATCCACCAATGAAATCACATACGGGCTGCCCATCATGATCACCCTAATGGTACATTGTCTTCTATCAACCAAAAACCCCAAAACGATTTCCTCGATTGTCTTCCGCTTTGAAAACGTGTGTTGGTCATTACTGCATTGACCTCCTTGTTACCGTGCAGACTGACCGTCACACGTGGAAGCTTGGTTGGCTGAGTAGATCAGTCTTGATCAACTGCTTAATCACTGATTTTGTTTTTTTTATTTTTAAGCAAAATGACCAAACTGTACCACCATGACCTCGAGTCCCTGTTTTGTATGACGCTAAACTCACAATTTGGGGATTTCTGAGTTCATTTGTGCTTCAGGAAATAACAACAGCCGTTTTTCCAGTAACATTTCTAAACCTTATTAAAGAAAACAACTGGCAGAAGTATTTATGATGAAAGTAATGATTTAAAAACTTGATCAAACAAACTGTACAGCATACGTCGTCTTTATTAACCCTTTGCTGTGGAGTTCACGCCCCCTAGTCTTGGTTGAATTTCCAAAATACTGACACAATGACGACACTTCCTGCTTCAAAGTCCCCATGTTTTCAGAATGTAGCCCTGCTGCATATCAGATAAACAGCTGATTTTACACTTTTCTATGACACTAGTTGACCTCCTGAGTAGCCTAATCCGGTTTGAAATCATTTCTGCATCGCCTCCAACATGAGGCTGACATTGCATCCCACTTTGTATAAAAAATAAACACAAAACAATAGTTTGCAATGATTCAAAAGTTGTGGTTCCCTCTCCCGATGATGCACGTTGGTAGATAACCTGCTGCTCACCTAAATGAACAAAGCAATGACATTTATATCTGTTGGGTACTAAGCGCATGTTTTTCCAACTTTCTAAGCCCTGCGGTGTTTCCCTCCAACACGGGGCAACTAGTTTCAGATTACACACAAACTTCCCCAAACAATTATGTAAATATATCTCTAGTTTCACCATTTCATGCTGAGATACATGTGAAAACATGACAATTTCATTGATATGAGAGCTAATACAACAAATCTGCAAGTATTATCATATCAAATGATCGAATATGTGGATAGTCTTGAATGTTCTGAGAAGAAACGGTGCCGCACATATCGTTAGTTCTTATAAAGACCCAGACGAGAGCTTAAAAGAAAGTGAACCTGAAAATATCCCAGAGCTCATGGGTTGAATATTCAACTCAAGTGGTATGAATGACGTAGACAAAACCTGCGACTTTTAGACTACTGGTGATAAACGGCTTTGTGTGACCTCTAGGTTGCCAAGTGGACCGGAGATTTCTTCAACAAGGGCATCTATGACATCCACGTTGAGCTGAAAGGAGTGCCGCTGCTGGAGTGGGAGACCGAGGTTGAGATGGACAAGTAAGATTTGTTCTTTCATGTACAGGCGCTCATTCAATCACTGTTCTGTGCTGTTTGGTGTTTGTCTGAGGTTAATCCTTGACTGTGTCCGGATGGTATTTTGGCAACAGTAGTACAGAAGTATCCATCCATCCATCCATCCATCCATCCATCCATCCATCCATCCATCCATCCATCCATCCATCCATCCATCCATCCATCCATCCATC